TTATATATTTAGTGGCACTTTAGATCCCAATTAATTCTTGAATTGATTAGCTAATTTCAAAAAATATTTTGATTGGCATGGCATTTCGGATTCCCATTGCGTCCGTTTTGCTAAATTGTTGTTGGAGGGTTCCGCCAAGAAGTATTGACAAACAATCCAAAGAAGCCTAGACTCCTTAGGAGAATCACCTATCATTTGGGTTGAAATGAGATATAAATTGAAAGAGAAGTATTTGCTTACTTCCTACATGGATCAAGTTTATGACCAATGACTCAATCTTAGACAACATTCTTCTAGTGTTTGTGATTACTTTGTCCAGTTTGATTATCTCATGTTCTTGTGTGACATTGTTGAAGAACCTTGGACAATTGATCAGTTTATTCTTGGGTTGAGACACAAAATTAGTAGGGAGGTCAAGCAATACACTTTTAATACGTTAGTTATAGCCTATCAATATGCTCTAAAGGTTGAGAGATTTCATAAGAAATTCAACTATACCTTGATGGGTTCTCAATCACAGCCTGTTGATAGGACATCTTCCAATTTTAATTTCATCACATATGAGTATCACGATTACTTAAACGATGTCCATGTTGTTTCTGCATGCTTTTCCTAATCCGAGTGTGACAAAGGATTTAGATATTTTAGTATCAAATAAAGAGGAAAATGTTACTCATATGGACTTTCAACTTTCTCATTCAGTTTCGTCATATCAGAGTCCTCCTCCTTTGCACCCACAAGAGTTCATTTCAAAAGAAAATGTGTGTGAGTCTTTGCTTATGTCAATTCTTGAACCATCATTGGTCTTGAAAATTGTGAAAAAGTCTGATGAGTCAACACTTATGCAAGATATTAAGCCAAACGAGTCAATTATTGCAGAATCTACTAGTGACTATTCAGTGTCTACTTGTCCAAGTCATCATGATTTTGTTGCAGATTCTTCCCAATCTAAGATTATTGACTTTGTTCTTCTGTCTACTACCAAGTGTTCGCTTCAGTTTGTACTTAATTATTTTCAGTACCAAGTCGTTATTGTTCCTCCTTTATCATTGAAGTCTTGTCCCACTAAATGCTTGTTGTTCAAGTCTGATGAGAATTATTTTCCTTTTCTTGAGTTTGGATCTATTGCTTATTTGCTTCATTTTTTATTGAATCTTAGTATTAGTCCAGATTTTTATTTGGAGGACATGCTACTTAATCGAGGTACTCCAGTGTCTCATATTTTATTAGCAGGTGTTCATACAGATGGAGATTCTTACATTTATCCTGATCGATGGAAAGAAGTTGATGATTTTTTCATTCTAGATGAGGTATTATGTCATATTCATCCTGCTCTCTTAGGGTATTTCTCCTTTGAAAACTCTCAAGAGAAGAGTTTTTTTCAACTGGAGGAGAATGATAGGGATCGTGTAGGAATTAGATAGATATTTTAGATTAATCATGAGAGTAATTTAATATTTATCTTTTAAGTATTTTCTTTTAACTTTTAAGGGCTTAGTTGTCATTGTGATTATTTATTTATTTTAGAGTTCTTTTAGGATTTGTGTTCTCCCCATATATATAGGGGATATGGTATTTGTTTTGGTAGACTTTGATTATTGATTATTAATATTGAATCTTCTTCCTAAAATTCCCTCTCTATTTTCATCTCCTTCTTCTTTTTTTCTCATCCCTTTCTTCTTCCCTTCTTATCTCTAATTCTTCTCTAATACGATCTACATCAATTTGATATCAGAGCTATTACGATCTACATCACTAATTTTCCTTACTTTCTATTGCTCTAGTAAACATAAAAGAAAATGAAAGATTTTTTTTTTAGGAAAAAAAATGTATCCCTTTAATTGGAACTTGTGAGGGAAAAATTGCTCTCAAAACCTTAGAATTTGAAGATTTGGAATTACAAGTGCGATTCTAAGAGCAACTCCAACAATCTTGTTAAACAGCACTGGTTAGCTATTTTAGATAACTCCCCCATAAAATCTGACTCCAACAGGCTAGTTATTCCACTATCTATTTCTCATAATCCTCTTTTCACTTGCTGGTTGTAGCTAGCCCCCTTCTCCCTCGCTGGCACCAATTTCCTTTCCACATTCTCTCTTTTTCTCTGAAGCTCCACCAACTGAAACTTCATCGCAAAAGGCTCCACCGACTAAGGCTCCATCAACTGAAGGCTCCACCGGTATGGTCTTTTTTTTCTCTCTCTCTCTCTCAGAATGGGGAAGACGATACAACTCTCTAACTCTGATTTCATTTGATTTTTTTATGTTATCAGATTGCGTTTTAAGTTTTGGGTTTCGTGAGAATCGATCAATTTGTAGCTCATCTGCGTATTTTCTGTTCAAATTGATTTGTTGGGGACATTGAATTTGATAAATAGATAATTATATTCCCAGATAACTTCAGCTTTGCTTCGTGTCGTGTGATTTGGGTTGATGGGTTGTTAATGGTTCTCTACTTTTGGGTTTTAGAGGGTTAAAAATGAGCTTCCAAGATTGTGGGTTTATCATGAGCTAACCAGCTTGCATATGCACTTGAGCAAACATGGATCTTTGATCATTATTAGTGGAAATTGATGCCTGCAATATACTCGTAATAACTAGAATAGGTTGTAGCAAGAGTTCAAATGATTGATTTTTATTTTATTTTTAGGGTTAGTATTGAGTTCAGGAGTTATTTGAAATTGATGATTATCTTCAGCAAGTTCAAGTTTACATTATAGAAATATAGAGTGTACTATATCTTGGATGTTATATGTTGCCATGGAAAATTATTTTATCTTGTTGTGTTGCCATGGAAATTAAGAGGGAAGATATTAAATGAGGGGAAAGATAATTTTTTTTATTTAACTTTTAATTTCATTTCCTTTTCATGAATTGCAATCCAATTCGAGAAACTTTTAATTTTCATTTTTTTTGAACTAGGAGAAACACACAAGGGTATTTGTCTTTCCTTTACATGTACCATTTCCTTTTTCATTTCCTTTCCTTCACTAATCTGTAAACCAAACAGAGCACCAATTAGGTGATATTCTATCTAAGATACGCAGTGAAAAAATAAACTATCTTGGTAACTATGTTTGATTTCCTGGTATTTTGTTTAGCTATTGATGCAAGAGTGACATTTGTCAAAAAGAGAATTGATTCGGTTTTTGTCATGTAGACTATTTTGAAACTCTAAGTGCTTCAAATGCATGCATTCATGTTGAATTTTTTTTCTTCATTGATAACTGATCCTTGGCCTTTTGATATATTAATCTTCTAGTAGCAATGTCTTACTTCAATTCATGCCCCCTTGACTTTATATTTGCAAAGCACTAGTTGCCCATACTTGATTCAACACGCTAAGGGGAACCCTGCTACTTGATTGGTACTTGAATGTCTGTACTTGTCTCATTTTATAGGCATTACTCATGGATCCATTCCAACATGATGCGTACTTCACCAATCTCATGCATGATGGAACAAATTTAGATGATGAAGTTATAGGTCAATCTTCACCAATATCTCATCAAGTAAAATCCACCACCAAAAAATAATGAGGTGACAATTTTACAGTAGAGGAAGACATTATGATAATCTCGGCATGGCTTAATATTAGTTTGAATGTCGTGCAAGGAAATGAGCAAAATTCAAAGACATATTGGCAAAGAATTTGCGAGTTCTTCCACGAATACAAATATAAGGCATGCCCTCGTCGTAGTCAAAATTCTTTGATGAATCATTGGTCGGTAAATTCAGCTAGCCACCAACAAATTTTGTGGGTGCTTTGCACAAATAGAAAGACTGAATCAAAGTGATTTGACAGAGAAAGACAAGGTATGAGTGAATATTTTCATACAAAATAGTGTACTTTTAATGACATGATAATGAGTGTTGTTGTAAAAATTTTTAGATTCATGATGCCAAGAATTTGTACAAGGAACTCTATAAATCTTCTTTTTTGTTTGAATATTGTTGGAATGAGTTAAAGTATCAACCAGAATGGATAGAGGATTCTCAGGCAAAGAAGCAAAAAATAAAACATAATGCAACTTTGGCAGCTCCGTGCTTTCTACAGCGGACTCTGTAAATTTAGGAGATGACAGTAGGTCTTATGGATCCTTAGACAAACCACCTAGAAAGCAAACTAAGAAAGCGCAACTACGAAAATCAAAGAGTAAAGAAGCTGGAGGTGATGCAACAAGTTTTGAACTTATTAATTTGTTAGTAAAAATGAAGGAAGATAAAAAGATAATGAATTGAAATGTTTGAAAAATGTTGTTTTCAAGAACAACAACATTTACTGCAAAGAGAAAGAGATAATGCAAATGGAGCAAGCAAGAGAGGAAGAACGAATAATGTCAATGGACACAAGTTGTATGCCTCCGTTGCAAGCTGAATATTTTCAGCGCCACTAAATGAAAATCTTGGGAAAGAAGATGTAGTTCTATTTTATTAATAGAAAAACAACTTTAAGTAGTAGTAATGATGCTGCAAGTACTGTAATAACATTTGCTTAAGTAATGCCTAATAGTTTTCATGCATATTCCACTAATGCTCGACTAAATTAGCTTGGAGTTTGGAATGAGTTTCTTTGTCTCTAATGCAATGTTGAGTATTAATAAATTGTAGCGGTTCTGAACTCCACTTAGGTATGATTGTGGCAGTGGGACTCTCATCCATTGTATTATAACTAAAGTTCAATTCATTAGCATTCCACTCATCCTTGAAAATTATATTATGTAATATTATGCATGCTTTCATAATATCCTTAACCACTTCAAGTGTCCATAAATGTGCTGGTTCACGCACTATAACAAATCGTGCTTAGAGCATTCCAAATGCTCGCTGAACATCCTTTCTTGCTAGTCCACACACTATAACATGAAAATCATTAGAGATTGATAGGAGAAAATGAAAGATTCATTGTTTTAAGGATAAAAAGTGTATCACTATTAATTCGGGATCAAACATAAGAGTTTCTGAGTGTAGCGGGGAGGTTAAGGAAGTCTGTTGCACAGAATGGGCCGAGTATTAGTGGGTGATTCAAAATTAGAGGATCAGAAGTCTATGATTGCTGCGCAGTCAGAGTTTAACTGGAGGGCTTCGAAAGTAGGGTTTGGGATTCATCAAACCTCGCGAAAACTCTTGAAGTTGGCAAACCGTAAATCATTGAATTGCTCAGTATTTTTGCATGATTGTTAGGTTGACGTGTGACAATCTCTATGCATTTTCATTTCTCAGCATGATCAATGTTGAAATAATAAATGAAGAATGTGCAGCTAGCAAAATTTAAGTTATTGATTTGTTGAGAATATTTGAATGGTTGTTCTATCAGCTGAGTTTTGGCATGATCAATCTTGAAACTATAAATGAAGAATGCGTAGACGATCAATTTGAAGTTATTGAGTTGCTGAGAACTTATGTTTTACTATTACTTCCAACAGGAAGCAGATGGATGGGGAAAGTCAGCCATTGCAAGACAGCTACATGCAGAGTAGAGCTACTGCCCTTCAAAACGTGGAGTCAACAATTCACGAGCTGAGCAATATTTTCAATTAGCTGGCAACCTTGGTTTCTCAGCAAAGGGAGATTGCTATAAGGTTTCACTTTTCTAACAACATAACTTTTAGTTCTGACTGGAAATAAACATGATGAGCATGCTGTGAGCAAAGCCTTCAGCCAAACTTTGGTAACTTGTACAGTGCAACGTAAACCAACCGATTAATTCGGAGAAGTGAACAGTGAAGATCCCTGAGAATAGTGACGAAGCCAAAAATACGATCTAAGATAGAGGCACTTTAAGTATAATAGATAAAAATAATGTGATATATTTAAATTTTTTATATCTAATTTAATACTTAAAAATTCATTAAACATAAAAGGAGTTTGTTTGAAAAAAAATTAATAAGATAACATCTATACATAAAAGGGATCAATTATATAATTTATTTGATACAAATAAAAGTAATATTCTATAATTTTTAATCTTCTAACAAATTCCATATTTTATTAATTTTTTGCTATATTTTCCATAATTTTTGAACCAAAGGAGGTTTCAACAAATCATACTAATATTCTAAAGAATCAATTTAGTTTGCTAATTTTAAGAGATTTGGTATGAACTTTTTGTTTTTGTTTTTTGGTTCTAGTATCCATCTTGTTTGACCCAATTAATGCTATTGGGACATAATTTAAAATTTTAATATATTATGACCATTGGATTAATAATGTTAGGACCTAGTGGTAATTTAATGTTAAGACCCATTGATAATCTAATTATCACAATCATTAAGTCCCAAAATTATATCTTTAAATTATGTCTCAATAGTATTGCTCGTTTTCAAAAATTATTATAGTGGGACCAATTAATCCAAAAAAATATAAAAAATATATATAATTAAAAATAAAATCACGGTGGCCACAGACCCTTCCTCCCCCCACCATTGCTAGAGAGAGTGTGAAAAGTGAGAAGATGAAAGTAAAATTTAATCTGAATGGTTATGAGAGAGATGTTGATTGTTGTTGGATGAGTTTATTTGAGACCGTCAGATGGGTTTGTTGCAACCGCCCTATTTTATATTATAGATATTATAAATAAATCCATGAAATATGATAGAATTGACTTTAAAAAACATTAATTTATATACATGTAATCAAAATCGAGTCAAATCTAATACAAATTAAAAATGTAATTTATCGAACAGCATTTCGTCAAAATATTTTCTATCAAAAAAAGATCTACAGATATCATTTATAAAAATATTATTTTTTTAATTAGTACAAGTTATTACAAAATTATTAATTTATAAGAATATATTAGCGTTGAATTTTTTTAAGAGATAAAAAAAAATTAGTCTTGAACTTTTGATTCAAGATGTGTAAGACATGTTAGTTTGAGTTAATTAATTAAATAAATAAAATTAAAATTAATTATATTCAATATAAATGTGTTAAACAACGCTTTTATTTATTTTTTGTTTTGTTTATCTCAATCAATTAAGCATACTCTGGTTTGTGCAGGATTGATGAGAACATGGATGACACGATGGCCAATGTGAAGGGGGCACAAGGGGCTCTGCTCAAGTATCTCAATTGCATCTCATCAAATAGGTGGCTGATGATTAAGATCATCTTCGTTCTGATTTTCTTCCTCACGAGCTTTCTCTTTTTTGTGGCATAGCGAACGAGACGAAGACACAACATTTCGTAGAAAGATTATGGTCAATGTATGCTTCATATACCAATATGCGTGAAATTACTGCTCATTGTCCAGATTATCATTTGTGATATGCTCCGCATAAATGTAATTTTGTTTATGAAATCATTTTACATAATGGAAACTGCTTGTATATGCTTGTATAATGAAATCCTTGTAACATGTGATATGTGTAGTTTAATCCAATAAAACTTTTTATCTTTGTCATATCTTAACTTCATACTGAGATATCACATTGGTAAATGCGATATACATTTTACACGTGGAATTTGATTCTCCACGCACTGAGTATAGTGTTCCATCCATTACAATTAGGGGTGCAACCCGAGTTAACCTTAATTCAACCCGAGTCTACCTGAATTAAACTCGAGCAATGTTCGGGTTGAATTTCTCAACCTGAGGTAGAGTTAGGATTAAGGTTAAGATTAGGGTTAAAGATTACATACCTAGGATTGACTGTCCAACTCGTCTGAATGCATCCCTAATTACAACATGATGATCCTTACTATTAGTCATATCTTTTATGTTCCGTTTGGTAAAGAGGATGAAAAGTAGGAGGGATACACTTTCTATCCTTCAAGAATGAAAAGTAGGAAGGATACATTTTTCTTTCTTTGTGTTTGGTTGGATGGATGGAAAAAAAATGATTATTTTTTTTTGTGCTGGCTAAGAAAAGGGGTGACAATCGAATCGTGTTGTGTCAGATTCGTGTTGAGTCATTACGAGTTTGTGTAGAATATTAGTCAAATTTAATTTAACTCATTTAACTAATTATGTTATGTCGAATTGCGAGTTGATCATTTTATTTTTGTATCGAGTTCAAGTCGTGTCTTCGTGTTGAGTTGAAAATTTTCAAATTTTGACCCTTAGTTAAGATGAAAAAAATATTTTTTTTAATTTAAAATATCTTTTAATTTATTTTTTTTTAATTTTTAAATTTTTAAAATTTATTTTTAAAATTTTTAAAATATATATACATATTTTACCATTGTATTTGTATATAAAATTAATGTATACCTAAGATATATAGACAAATAAAATACATCTCAACACAAATAATTAATTTTTCATCCACTTTCCTTCTAATTTTGGAGGGATTAATTTTGGTGAGTTGGAAGAAAAATTAATCCATTCACTTTTCCATATTTCCTATTTTTTTTTTTTACCAAATATGATGTTTTATTTATTTCTCAAATTTTTTATCCTCGTACTTTTTTAGCGTACTAAACAGAGCATTAGGGGTTGGACACTTGTTTAACCCAATAGTGTTTTTTTAACTTTATCAAACTTTGTACCGGATGTCGCAATGAGAAATATGACATGTTTTTCTTGGGAAATTTCATTCTCTGGCCAAGTGGTTCGACACGGAGAGTATCTCTTTTAAGGTATTGAGATCACGTGTTATTTTTTCAGACGAAATCATATATTCAACACGTGATCATTTTATTAAAAATTTAATGGTCAATATACGTAAAGACAAAAAATGACACAAATTGAATATTTTAAGGATTAAATTAATAAAATTAATATAATAATAAATTGATAATATATATATATATATATATATATATATATATATATATATATATATATATATATATATATATAGAACTAAAAGTGCTATTAATCCAAAATATAACTTTGGATTTTGTAGTCTTTTGTTGTAAATTTCAAAAGATAGCGTACTAAAATGCAATTTGAGAAACTATGGCGTCTAATCAGCACAATTTGAGAAACTATGCAATTTGATAAACGAGTTTGAAATTTTTTTATTTATAATCTTAAAAATCAGCTTTATTAAATTATACCCTCGACATTATCAAATAATTATAATTTGACCTTCATACTAATTTCCATAGTTATTTTTGTCAAATCTTGTTATACTTTGATGAAAACATCTACAGCAATTGTTGAGAATGTCACATTGCAATTATTTTATAACATTGAGGGTATAATTTAAAAATATTAAACTTTAAAAGTAAAAGTTAAAAATTTTAAAATATTTTAAGGTACAAAGTGTGATTCTCTATCAGCTAAAAAGCAAAAAAATTCCCCAACTATATAAGCCTCACTTTCTTCTTCTTTCCTTTACGTTATCTGCATATCACCGCCTTCTCTCTCTCGATCGAGTCTCTCTCTCTCGATCGAGTCATATATGCATATCTGCATCTCTACATCTCTCTTCATCCACATCAAACCCTAGCATTTCCTTCCCTATTTTCTCTTCGAATCCCTAGTTTTTTGTTCATATCCAGCGTACGCCCTAACAATTTGTCGAATACTCCAAAGTGGTATCGGACCTCTATTTCACCTGAATTTCTCTGAATATTTCTTGCGGAGATACGAGTATAATCTCTCTTTGATTTTAGTCTCTGAAACCTTTATCAAGTTTGAAGACAATTTTCATTTGTTTTTGTGGATTGGGTGAGAAAATGGTAGGAGGTGGGAACAGGAGAGACGAAGTGATCAAAAATACCAACGTGTTCGCTGCGCTCGAGAGTCTAAGGAAGAAGAAGAAGTCCGATAAAGAAAAGGGGTCGTCGAAGAGTAGCAAGGGGTCTTCGAAGGCTGAGCCGGCGCCGCAAGTGTTCTGGGCACCTACGCCGCTGGCGGTGAAATCCTGGGCCGATGTGGATGAAGACGATGACGATGACTACTATGCCACCACGGCTCCGCCTCAGTCTGTTTGGGGTTTGTCGCAATCTGAGCAGGCCCAGGAGAAGCCAGCCCCTGTAGAGGTCAGAATACAAGTTGGTTTCTAGTGTATGTGTGTTTATCTGACCAGATTATTTTGGATGAGGAGAAACTAATGAATGTAAGGGTAATACCATGTCATCAATCAGCAATCCCACACTTAATTTAGTAATTATCCCTCCATTAAATAGTAAAGAAGTAGTGGGATTTAGTGGAGTTAGTTCACTTGACCCATTTGTATTTTTATTGGATGGTGATGACATAGGGTCACCGTTACTGTCAACATTTACTAGTTGACGATGAGGTTCATGTATCTTTATGGATCGTTTAGTTGCAGTTTTAAGGGGTGAATTATAAAATTATAACACATTAAAACTCTTTAATCTATCCTTATACTATATTTGGTTGTCAAAAAACTTCATATTATATATATACATAATACATATATAGGTTTATTTTGTATACGTATACGGATAATACACTCTATCCGTACTATTGAGTTAATTATAATGGCATCTTGAGTAGTATTATAATCTAGTTCATGCATATTAGGTGTAAATTTTTTATTTTGCCAAATAAAGAAAAACATAATAACTAGACTAGATTGATAATTTTTTTATCAATATATAATTAGTATTCTATTGTCCTACTTTTATCTAGTATTTTACCAAACAATAGATTACAATGGATAGTATTTTTGTTCCATATTTAATTTTATATTTTTTTCGCTTATACAAAATTAACTTGTATTATCTAATATAATCTTTTTTTTTTTTTAAACAATATGGTAACCAAACAAATCCTTAGTGTATTCATGGTCGTATTATGCCATGAGACTTATATGGCACAATCTAGGAAGCTATAAATGGTTTAATTTTTCTTAAGTCTCATTAATGAAGGTGGAACTCTAGTAAACACGGGTGGTTTCCAAAAAATTATACATAGAAAGTTGTATAGTTTTTTATACTACAGTGCATAATTTGGTCCAGACATCTTAAATGAGCTTTAACATTTCTTATAATACATTACTCTTACTCTTAGTGTCAAAAACTGTGGGTATACTTGTATGTTCTTTTTGTTTTATGTGGATGCAAGCTTGCCTAGGGAGTAATGGAATTTATGCAAACAACTGATAGTGGTGATTGTTTAAAGTGTGAAATGGCTGTTGATGGCATTCCTTGTTGGCGTGATGTTGCAATGGTAATTGATTTTGCCTATGAGGATGTAATTTCATTGCTTCAATCCATGGTTATAAAGGGTGAGGGATGGGCAATGATCCAATGTGTTTATTATGTAGCAAATTGTGTAGATTGGCGTAGTAACTTTGATGTGTTGGAAATCTTCACTTCCTTGGAAAGATCCTTGGGACACGAATGGGAGCGGGTTCACCAATTGTCACATTGTCTAAATCGTATTATGCTTGGTTAGGCTCATAATTTGTTGAAGCATTTCCAAGTATAAGAGTTCTTCATCTGGAAAAGTAGATGACTAATAATACAACCTAAATATAATGACTAGCTTTCCATTTACTAGAAAATTTGTCATCTTGGGAAAATTTACGTTAAAATTGTTAGGTTGCCATTTACAATTCTAGGGCGAATGTACCATGTTTTGGAATGTTCATTCCAATACGCAATATGCTACAATATTAATGTTTTGGGTTAATTTTGCTGCCTTGGCTTTGCATTGTTTCTTCTTGGCGGTTCCCATGCAATATGTGGCAAGTGGCTTTGTAAAGTTGCATTCGTGGTTGTGTTTCTCATCATTATTGGTCTATACTGTAACAACAGCAGTCTCAGCAGCAAGGAGAAGAACAACAACATCAGTTTGTGGTATCATTCGATCTGTAGGAATGTGGAAAAATAGTGTCTACATCCTTAGTATTTGCATGGCAATTTTGTGCATTACATTTACCAATAAGGAGGACTTGCTTCCAAGTTTTTTTCCTGGATTTCTTTAGATTCTTAGAAGGTTGTCAGAACTTCCAGAATCCAGAATCCACAATCCAGATCCTGTATTGTTCTGGACGGGAATTTAAGGGTTCAATCAAGTATTGTAAGTTTTCAAAAAAATAATATGCATGGTGAAATTACAGTACGTACAGATTTGTAATCATGAATACAAATTTCATAATGAATGGAAAGAAATGTACAAAAAGTCCAAAAACAGTTGGAATGCCAAAAAGTTGGTGCTAGCAAAGACTTTGGTTTTGGGTCTAAGTTTTCTTGAAGGATTATGTTCCAATGTCATTTGACTAAGAATAAGAATATCGTTGTGGTAGTTAAAGGGTTTTGTATGCATCTTTAAATAGGCTAAAAATGATTGCTGCTAGTTAGAGTGGTGAAACATCATATCATTTGGCCGTTAAGTGTTACACATTCTGTTGCCATATGGTTTCGTGTGTGGGTGGTGACTGGGGTTGTGACACCTCATGTGATTCCATTTTCCACTTTGTTGTGACATCTAGCATCTTTGAGAAAGGTTGATAGAATTATTGAGATGGAATGAAATGTATCCCTGTTCATGATAGTGGAAACTGACATGCTTGCCTATCTGGAATTTAGGAAAGTGAAAGTGAAGAAGATCTTCTTGATGAAGGTGATGACGATGTAGAGGAAGAGCATGATGATGAACCAGAGGCTCCAGAACAACCTGAGCCAGTAGTGAAGAAGCCTGTTGAAGTTTCTAATGCACCTAAAGAGACAGAAAGACAGCTTTCAAAGAAAGAAAGAAAGAAAAAGGAGCTTGCAGAACTGGATGCCATTTTGGCTAATTTTGGAGTCTCCCAGAAAGATACCAGTGCTGAAGATGAATCATCTGGTAATTATGTGATCCCCTCTTCTGCAGCAAGCATTTCCCGTGTTCTCTCTGACTCGGAAACAAATATTTTCTTTTTTTCTAATTACATTACCACCTTATGAATATCTGTTTCCTTTGCTTGCATTGGATTTGCAGGTGCTGCAAAAGAGAAGAAAGGAGGACAGCCAATTGGAGATGCAGAAAGGAAGGAAGATGCTCCTGCAGAGTCCAAAAGTGCTAAGAAGAAGAAGAAGAAGGATAAATCTTCCAAGGAGGCAAAAGAACCCCAGGATCCGGCCAACGGTACTGATGTCACCAATGGACCAGAAGAAACAGCTGGAACTGAGCGGGGGAAGAAGATGCGTCTGCAGTTGACGTCAAAGAGCGGCTAAAGAAGATGGCATCTGGCAAGAAGAAAAAAACCAATAAGGAGTTGGATGCTGCTGCCGCTATAGAGGCTGCCACAAGGAATGCTAGACTTGCTGCAGCAAAGAAGAAAGAGAAGAGCCATTACAACCAGCAGCCTACGCGGTAAGAGTCTAGTGTTCAATTGAACAATCAGAGCATATATCTTAGTGTTCAATTGCTTGTGCAAAATAAACTGCTGGCTTGGGCTCTGGTTTCATGAGATTTAAGATGTGTAGTTTTGCCGCAGGAAAATTTCTTCTTTAGGCTATCTAGATCTTGTTGCCCCTCTATTATGATGTGGGCTTCTTTTTCCAGGCAGTTTTGCTCATTGAAGAGTTCGATATCTAATGGTTCATGAACTTGATCTCAATCTCATTGTATCATGTAGCAGTACTTTCTCTGCCATGAATTGCAACTTTTGTTATCCATGTTTCAACTTGAACATTAGCCTTGTATAGGAAGAAGTGGTTTTTAATCCAGAAAAATGAAGATCGTCTGGCTACTGTTGAGCAGGTCTTTGACTTTGAGTTTTGCATTTCATGTTTGTGAGCATTCCATTGAGGGTAGGCAGATGAGAAGTATGAGAAAATATTTTTGGGTCAATTTCATGAATGAAAAATGCTGCAGATTCCATCGAGGACAGGCAGATGAGAAGAATGAGCAAATGTTTATCCTAGAGATACTAAGCCTGACTTCTCCATTTGGGTTACACATTTTGGAAGTTTTTGGGGTAAAAAAAAAAAATTCGTGGGAGGGTTACTTGAAGCATATTGGTGGTGTTTGTGACATAAAAAACTGTATTAGCTGTGATATATTACCCAGACCGATTCCCGAAATGCCTTTCTGGATATTCCTCAATGTCCCGGCTATTCACGGAACGTGAGAAGCAGATGATTAATCATCTGTTTCCGGAAGCAATCGAAGAATTTCTTGGGAATCCTACAAGATCCGTTCGTTCTTTTTCTCTGACAGATGGTCAGAACTTCATCTGGGTTCGAATCCTACTGAGAGGTCCACTAGAGATCAGAAATTGTTGAAGAAACAACAAGATCTTTCTTTTGTCCCTTCCAGGCGATCGGAAAATAAAGAAATGGTTAATATATTCAAGATAATTACGTATTTATAAAATACCGTCTCAATTCATCCTATTTCATCAGATCCGGGATTGGATTTTGTGGCACATTAAAACAAATTCACCTAGTTCGGGACCAAAGTGACACAGTTTTTCATCTAAGATGTATCTAATTGGGAACACCACAGAACTAGTTACTACATTTTGAGGTACATGTGAGGAAATTTGACAGTTAATGGGGTAGTAGTATAAGATAGGTGATATAGTTGACAGTTTATGAAACGGGTGAATTAAGGAAATATTTAAACTTTTTAATTTTGTGTACTGTTTTTATGGTGTTAACAAGTTGTATTACATTCAGTGTCTGCCCAAACTTTAGGCCACTTAGCCCGTTGCCTAGGGCCCTAATTTGGAAAAAAAATTTGGGACCCCAAAATAAAATAAATAATGATTATTTTAGAATATAATTTAAATATTTAATATATTTTAATTATTGAATTAATAGTGAGTGCTAAGTTTAAACAAGATTTACTATTTATTTAATGTACTTAGTCCTTAAATTAAGTGTAATTAGCATTATTGTAAAGTTTTTAGAACCTCTTTTAAAAAAATTTAGGGCCCTAAAATTTAATTTATTTTTTTATTTCACCCGATATTTATATTATATGTATTATTATTTTGCAGTCTTATTACGAAAATCAATTGTCTATCATATAATAGGTACGAATAATAATTTTAAATTTGTATAAGTTAAATTTAAGGTTATTTTTTAAGAACTTTGTTTACTATACACAAGATGACTATAAAATAAAGTGAGTAGAAGTAATACATTAACTATCTTAAATTAATTAACCATAGTTGTCTTACTAAAATTTTTATTTAAAAATTGTTTTTTTCTCTATGATATTTAATAATATCGCATTTATTTTAAGACTATTCAACTTGTATAAATTCCTATTTTTATATACATTTATAAAAAAAATAATTTTACTAGTCAACCTTATTTCAATTATATTTCTCTTTTATCTTAAACAAATAATATATATTATTGTATTTGATCTTTGTAATCGACTTCGATTAACACAATTTTTATTTGAATTAAATATTTAAATAACTATGTTATATTTCAAAAGACAAAACAAATAATTTATAAATAAATATATTTTAATAAATATTTAATATTATTATTATTATTAAATAAATATTTATAGAGTCTCGTATAATATTTTCGCCTAAGCCCCAAATTACATTGGGCCGCGGCTGATTATATTTTGGCGATACTAAGTGGCAGGAAATCCTATCCTCGTTTCGGAGATGTTGGTTCGTAGACTAAGCTCGCAATTCATCACTTGGACAGAGGCGGAGGCGGACTTATCATCATTGCTCTCGAGGTATTGATGTAGTGACCTAGGAATAGGGTGCTTCAAGAGACAAGGGTTACAAAATGAATCAAGTTGTTGATTAAATAGCTTGGGATTGGTCCAAATTAATGTTCCTTTTTTTTTTTTTTTGAAACAAAATTAATGTTCATTCAAGTTCGTTTTTTAACAAACAAGCACAACTCACACTAAATTTTAAAGTCTGCTGAATTTTTAAAATTTTAAAATATTTAATTAACTCCTTACAATCAAATTATTTCATTTGATTTATTTAACTATTCCTTAAATCTTTTGTAATTATTACCACTATCTTTTTAAGCTATTTCAAATTTAATTTTTACTCATCTTTCTTCACTTTTTTACATTTAAGAAATAATATTTTAATTTATTAATTGATAATTTTTCAATAATATAAGGGTTGAAAAAAGGTAAAATATGGTAATGGCGAGAGAGACAAGTATAATTTTTCAATAGTACAAGTATATTTTGATCTCGAATACAATTCTGAATTCAAGTTGAAGCTATGAAAAAAAATGTTTAAAGCTCAAAAAGATAATGAACAAATTCACACTATTTTTATTTTCGATTTTGTTTTTTTTTTTTTTGGGTGAACGAAGGAATCAAACCTAAACAGTTTAGTGCTTAGTTTATGTTGTGCCTAAGTTGAATTGTATTGATAATTATTTAAATCATATTCAACTCATTTATCATTATTTATAGTCGATTTTTTTTTATTTCATGTTCCTACCATGCATAAATTGTATTTTGTATGTGTTGCATTGTTCTAATTAATTTTGTCTGATTTTATTTATTTAATTGGTCTAACAAATCCATTCCTTAATTACCTAAACTCATCACAATGAAATTCAGACTCATTAATGGCGGAACTTAAGGCGGCTCAACATCTCCCAAATTGACACATGTAAAATTGTAGCCGTTGAAGAGCTCAAAGGGCTCCGAGTCCGAGCCGAGAGATAACGACTCAGAGGAGCCAAGTGCTCGAACTGACACCCACATTTAATGCGACTTGACCATTCATTTATGGCGAAAGCGAGTGATGGAGACAGTGTCATTAATGGGGTCCTGCAGTCTCAGACCATAGGCCTGCGGTTATGATGGCTAGACATTAATGGCTTATACACTGAGTGTATCTCCTCGGTACGCACTGAAGTACTATTCCCCCCGAGCATTAAAATCCAAAAGTAGGTGTCAGGTGTCGATCATAGACACTTGAGTGCTCGGGAATATCCATAGGTGCTCAGCTTGTCCCCGAGCACTTGTCCTATCTTCCTTGCATTAAATGAGTAAAGATCTTGGGGGAGAACATTCAGATCTTCTTGGGTAAAGGTGTTAGGCATTGAATATTCAGATGTGACTTAAAGTCTTTGCACTCATTACAAATTCAGGTATAAATATTTCTCAGAAAAATAAACAAAGGTACGCAACATTAAACCAGAAATATCATATGCATTGAGCTTGAGCCTCCAATATTATACTGACTTAAGCTTCAGAAGGGACAAGCTGGGTGTTTACCTGACCCACTTTTTTTTTCTGACCCTGTGGCTATTGCAGATCCACCAAGCTGAAGGTTGCTATCTCAAACTATTGCAGGAAATCTCCCGTGTAATTTGGCGTTGTATGTGGGAACGCGAGCATTTTTCCCGTAGCGATCATCTAATGGTGAACACTCGATCTCAGGGTGAAGGAGGAGCAAGTGTGCGTGTAAGAAATGCAGAGGCTGTCCAGCTTCCAATAGTTACAGAACCAGGCCCCTTGAACCAGTCAGGCAGAGGGGAACAGTCCTCGCAACGAATGCTCCCTGTGGATCAAGGCCTTGGGGGCAAGACCTCTTGGCTCATGATATCGTTGAGATGGTCGAGAAGCGGATGGTCAAGCGCATTAAGCAACTTGAGAAGGAAAACGCCAAGGTTCGACGACGGCTTGACGGTTTTGAACAGTCGGTGAGTGCGAGTAGATGGAGTCGCGAGTGGGAGGACCATAGTCTCAGTCAAGACTACGGGGGTGCCAGACGAAAGACTCCCGGGAGGGACCTGCATGAGCGCACGCCCGACAAGCGTGACCATCAAAGCTGGAGGTGAGCTCCGAGGAGAAATCAGAATGGGGCTACAAAGGCGAGTCTATCTCGGTGAGACCTCCGCTGTGGGATACTAGGGGACATTAAGGCAGCCGAATCCCAAGCGGAATCCACGGCCAGGGGGTCAAGAGAAGGGAGGCCCCGAGGGAATCCCCGAGTACGCCTCCATGACGCACGTCGCAAGCTCGAGCCCAAGGGAGATGTAGACAAGGAAATCATTTCCCCATTCGTTCGAGCTTTCAGGGAGACCGAAATGGCAAAAAAGTTCACTGTCCCACGGTTCAAAGTCTACGATGGAAGGACAGACCCCAAGGGACACTTGCGGTAGTACAAACAGTTGATGTTCATCTACGACACCGATCAGAGGGTGCTATGCCGAGTTTTTCCCATGAGCTTGGGGGACACAACCATGAAATGGTATGAGAGCTTGGCCCTCGAGAGCATCAGCTCCAAGAAATAGTTGACTGAACTTTTTACAACTCGATTCATCACCACTAGTAAGAAGCCGAAGGATATCGGCACTTTACTAACGCTTCGATGAAAAGGTGTAGTGTCCCTTCGGCAGTATGTCATCCGGTATTGGGAGGAGATTAATGAAGTCAAGGCGTGCTCAGAGACCATGGCCACAACATCATTTAGGCTGAGGTTGACCTGGGATACCGATCTCTACAAATTACTTACTAAGAGGGCTCCAGGGGATATGAAAGACTTGATGACCCGGATAAATAAATGCGCCCGGGTGGAGGAAGAATCTAGCACGCCTGAGAATAGGGCCTCCATGCCAAGGAAGAGGGAGAGGGGAACCATCAGCT